CCTTATAAAGTTTTAGCAAAAATAACTTCAGCCGTCTCCAAGAACAAAATGAAGAGATTTACATTATTTGATCATTTTTTCCAGTGTGCTTGGTTGGAGCTTGGGTTTGGTTTTTGGTTTTGGGGTGTTTTTTTTTGCAAGCCTAGGAAATACACAAAATTGACATTTAAAGAAGCCAAGGTCATAAAACAAGGAACTCAAGAGTTAGGAAAGTGCATTACGCAAGCTGCTTGCACCCTATTCTTTGATCCACTTTCTATGCAAACAATTCAGTTACCAGTTGACAGTACAATTTTTGATAGGGCCCAATGCCTCAACCACTCCAATGATGATTATGTTTGTTGTAAGATGAAACCAGGGCACTATAATGCAGAAAAAAATGACTTCTACAGGAAATAAACTCTGTCAAAGTTGAACAAATAAGGCAGCAAATGGCAAGAAAAGCAAAGCAGACCTGGCTGAAGCAGCTGAACGCTGCACTGGAGAATAGGACTCAGCTCTGCTGGTGCCTTGGACTGTGCAGGAGCTACCAAGCAAATCATCAAACGCAGACTCTTCACCAGCAGTCACCGATTTCTCCTCCGTATCTAGCACTGCAGTTTGGCAATATAAGACCCCAAGGTGCTCAAAACTTTGAGTTTCCACTGAAATGTGGAGTTTCAGTTGTTGTTGGGCCTTAAATGTGGGTAACTTGCTGTCATTTTGAGTCATCTCACAGTCACAGACCAACCCAAAAACATTGGCTGTGCTGGACCTGGACCCCCTGAGCCTCATTTGTTCACCTGTGCACCGGGACAAAACTAATCTCTCTCTTTGCAGGGGAACTGCAAAAATATCACACAGAACCACAGCCTCATATGCATAGATAGGCAAGTGGAGGTCAGGGGAGGACTTGCATATTACAGCAGTAAGTGCCATAGGAAAGCCCAGCAGTAATTATTAATTCCATCTTCAAGCATGGTTTGAATACAGCTCAACAAATGAAGCACTGAAGAATGAGGGTAAGATAAAATATTGACTAGCTGCTCCATCATTGTCTGGCCAGTGCCCTACATAGCACAAGGGTGTTTTGGAAAAAGCAAAATGGAAACACTTAATAAAAGGCTGGAGCTTTAAGGATTTGAATTTTCAAACTTAATCTTTCTAAGATCTTTTTAATGCAGTTTTATGTAACTCTGTTCAGAGACATAGTCAAACACAGACATGCACATACAGAGGTTATATAGGCATATTATTCTACAAATATTCAGACTTTTCTCTGTGTGCACCTACACTTTCCTAAAGCACAAGCAAGCATCTGACACCTAATGCAGCCCTTGATGAGAACTGCTCTCTCTCCCCTGTAGAGTACCACCAGTAATTATTTACCATTAGTTCTTATTGGGAAGAAATTCAGCTGGGAAGTAGTAAACAAGAAAACTGTATAGATTGTTCAATATAGCCTGGCTGGCTCACAACTGAAGTAAGAACTGATTGGATCACATCGCCTGGATGTTTCAATCACAGCTTTTATCACAGGGGAAAAGCCCCTTATTAACCTGTACCTGGTCAGGTCCCTTCCACGTCCATATATGCAACACTGTCAAGACCATACAAGTGCCCCTTCTAGTTCACGTTACCATGCCTCACACCCTAAACTGCTGTGGGGTTAAACGACTAACAAGACAGAGACCTAAAGGGTTCATTTAGACTCACAACATCTTGAACTCTGCTACCCTCCCTACTTGCCACAGATTTGGTTTCTTTTTGCAACCAGGTAAGGGCTTCCTCTTGCCACAAGAGAACCATCCAACTGGCAAAAAGATGGTCCTAAATGGCAACACTGGTCATTCACAAGCAAAATAGTTGTCTATGAAAAAAAAAAAAAAAAAAGTAAAAATCCTCTGCATAGATTATTTAAGTCCTTCAAAAAAATAAAACAACCAATGGGTCAAGTTGAAACTGCAGTATTTTAAAGATATGTGCCCTACTACTGCTAAATTTTCTGCCATGTCTCACACCATCACCCCACTCCTGTGACTCCTCCACCATCAATAGGAGTTGTGTGCATCAGCCTGGGGACCCCAAACAGCAGGCAGACCCTATGTGAAAAGCACCATTTTTTTCATTACGGCAGAGAACTGAAGTATGCAACGAGCACATACCGTAAAGGCATTCAAAATATGACAAAAAAAAATTGTTCAAATGCTTGCAATCTGCAGAAAACAAATGCTCTCTTCACTGACTGCTCTGTGGCAAACTTCTAATTCCATCCAGAAAATCCAGCATTCCCAGTCTGGGCTAACGACCATGCTACCAGACATGAGTTTATGTTTTTCATGCACATTTCATGTATTCCCACATGCTGTGTTGCTGCCAATAATTTATGACTGATCTGCACCCAGCCTGCCCTTCAGCATTTTATTTAATCTCTGCAAGAGTGATTTACAATGACTCATCATTAATACAAAAATGTACATGTGTGTTAACAAGTTTGGAAGAATCTAAGGAGGAAGGCAAAATTTTTTGCAAGTTGTGGCTGAATGACTTATGAGCCTGCTGAATAAAGGCAAAACTAACCAGAAACAATATGTTGGCTCTTCCCTGCAGCAAACAACTTAGGCAAGAAGAGTTTCTTCTCCTGCATACTGCCTTGGAATAAAATGAACTCAGAGAAAGGCTGGGGTAGGGCTGCCCCATACCTCCCAGGATTTGGGAGGGGATGAGGAGCTTGTTGGCCACCCCATGGCTGCAAGTTCTCTAAGGATGCACTTGTGTGTGCAGCCTGCATGCTCACCACAGCCTCACAGCCTCCTTGTTCCTTAGCAGTCATGTAGCAGGGGCTGAATTACCATATTTTGGCATCTCTGCCCACCACCTGTGACTTAAGAAAGCCCTAACTGTCTCTATAGTGTTAAGTCTTCGTGGGGCTGGGAAGGGGAATTGTCTCAATAATTTATACAATTGTAACACCACAGCAGAATTATCAAACTAGCTCAAGCAGAGGAAGCCTGCCCTACATGCACAAGACTTCAGTTATAATGTATTTTGACCTACTTTTCTTTTTTTTTTTTCTCCCTTGCACATAAGGAACTTATAAAAACACATCTGACACAAAGCCAAAGTAAAAACTCCTCAAATCCGAGGCGAGATGGGTACTGAAAAACACCCTGGAAAGTCACTTGGGAGAAATTCCACCAGCTTTAGTTCAAAGCATCCTGTGCTCATCATCTTGAAAAATTTCTTTGATGGCCCATCCTCAGCTGACATACTTGCCCACGCCAAATCCTACGCTCCCAGACCCCTGTGAAGCAGCACATGCTCGCTCCACCCCGTCATTAAATAAGACCCCTGACAACCATACACAGCTCCTCAGCTGGCCAAAGCACCTACAGTTAAACTGAAGGACAACCATATAAATTAGGATATCGCCTGGACGAAGGTTGGAGGATGTAAACCTGAACCAAACACCAGTTTTCCTGGCTGAGCCAAAATACTGCAGGTTAACATTTCCTTGTAACATGTATTTTACGTTTAGTGGCTTTTATTCCACCGTTTTAAAGTAAAGATCTTGGAAGCATACTTCACATACACTAAGTGTTTGGTATTTTCTTTTATTCAGTGTCTTAAAGGGCTTCAAAAAATTGATCTCCCAGGGCTGCTGTGGGGTCACAGAAATTGATAACCCTTACAAGCTATGCTTATGTGAGCCCGCCTGCGTCTCCCAGATAGTGCACTTTGTAAATTAATCCTCCAAAGGCAAATATATTGTAAGTAGCTTGTTATCTCTAAAGTACTAAATTGAAGAATACATGGGATTATATTGACAGAAATTACATTTTCTGTAATGGGGTTTAATATATCTGAAATCTCTCCCATAGGCTCCTACTCTCTCTAAGAGAGGAGGGTTTGTTAATGTAGGTGCAATGGACATCAAGACCAAATTTATTCACTAAAATGGATTAGGCCATGTAATCAGAGCTTCAGTAATATTAATCTCTGACACTTATTGAACGGAAAAAAAATACTTTTGTCTGCAAACTGACATTCCTCCCTCCCTTTTCCCCAGCAGGCTCGCTGTTTGCCTTGGCCATTTTCTGGGTATTACTTCAAAGAGGATAAGGTTTCCCATCATAAACACTAATCTAAAAATATTAGGACAATTAATTAGATACACTTAGTTTTACAAGGTATTAGATTGCAATACACTTCAAATATGACACTTGTTCTGGGATAGTGGGAGAAACCTGCATTTTGATGCAGTAACAAAAGGTAATAAATCAAACTTTTTTTAAGAGTTTGCTGTTGTGTTTTTCTACTTAAATCACAAGTAATTTTCACTGGTTGCCTTCACCACGTCCCAGACAGTTAGCAACTAAAAATCCACAGCAGACACAGCACAGATCCCCATGTCCTTCAAACAAATCACTCCTACAACAGATTAGGGGCTCCAGCCACCCTTAGCTGGAATAAATAAATAAAATTGCTCCATGCCATACTTCAGCAGCAAAGACACAGATCATTCTCAAAGTTTATTCCAGTTTTCAAAAACTGGACTTTTTAAACAAACCGATAGAGATAGAAGGATCTCAGTCAAACAGAAACCCCCACTAACAACATTTTAGAAAGCATGACAGCATCCCAAAATAACAATAAGAAACGGGGCCAGTTGCCCCTTTTTTTCACCCAACATCTCAACCTCTTCCAAGACCAAAGTTCTCAAAATGGATGTGACTTCCTATTAAGTCCTCACTCCAACCTCAGCCAGAAACGAGGATTGATACCCCAATGCAAACACACTGAAATCTGCCCAAGCAACAGGAAAATACAGTTTGTTTTCTGCAGCAGGAAACCTCCGAGTTCCCATAACTGAAACCACTCACCCGGCTATATCCATCCCTTTTGCATCAATACACTGCTGGCGGGGGGAGCAGACAAGGGCAAGGTGTGTCCTCAAAAATGCAAAGCATTAGCTGGAGGGAGCCAGCCACCGTAGAGAAACACTGAGGAAAATTACTTACCAATTGTTCACTTGAAGTATAGTGAGCCCTGTGTCTTGTGCCAACTGCTTTTTCTGTTCTTCTGAAGGGTAAGGGTGCTATAAGACACCAAAATAAATATATACATTTAAAACAATGCTCTTTTTGCCTATTTTTTATTTTAAATAAGAAAAAAACCAAACAACCCCCCAAAAAAAAAACAAAACAGAAGTGTGACATCTATTATTGAAAGGTGAAAATGCTGAGGTGTGTCACTCTTTTATAATTATTAATGGGCTACTACATCACTTAATTAATGGCAGTAAAAGACAAGCCAATTATAAAGATTAGTGAAGTGGAGAAATAGCTGCTTGGGATACTGGCAGTACCTTCATACTCTAGAAGGATATTTGTTGCATTAGTTGAAAGTTTTTGCACTTGTCTCAAATGACCGATTAGAGTCAAATCACATTTTTTTTTTCCCCCAGAACAATAAAGAATGTGATAAAGCACTTCTCTGTAAAACTAAAACACCCTGATGTTTTTTGAGATAGTGAAGACAAATCTTGCCAGTGCCCCACAATAATTTGCAAATAAGATCAGCATCCTGAACATAAACAAACGCCTGGGTTTTGAACACAGGCCAATGCAAGGTCAACGATCAGCACATTTTTGCCTGACATTAACATAGCTGTGCTGCACTAATCCTAAGAGACAGAAAATAAATACTGGTTTAATTGAAGATAATGTTAAAATTCAATCATAAGTTAAGTTACTTGTGAGAACTTGATTGCTTTCTCAGAAAAATTCGCTTCTGCATGAATACAGATTGCTTAATAAATCAACAGCAAAACCCACATCCATGCTTGAAGTTTAGAAATACAATTTCTCTCCTTTCCCTCCAGGTAAAAATGTCACTGTCCCAAAAGGAAATGGCCAAATATTGCAGAGTAACAATTCCCAGGAAAAACCCTGTTTTAAGGATCCAGCTTGGGTCCTAAGCTAGACACCCAAGTCTCAGTACACATTGGATTCAGACGTGGTCTGCTGCAAGGTATTTAATAACATTTCAATAAAGCACATTTGATTTAACTGGTTAGACCTATCCCAGCATCCCACTTAGCAGTCAGTTGTCACAAAGTATTTGCTGTTACACACACATCCCTTCCCACCCCACCCCCAAACATTCCCATATTCTTTGGATGTGTTCTTCGCCATAGTATTATAAGAGATGTAAACTGAAACCTTGTAAAGCATAAGAGTTTAAAACCTCGTAAAATTCCACAATCTTATTGGTATCATAACTATTTAGCAGATTTTATATATTCTTGTAAACAGCATAATCTGACATCTAATGGCTATGTTACATGCCTGCATCACCTTACTTTATCAAATAGGATTTTTTTTTTTTTCTAACTCCAGCAACTTCCCTTTGCCCAAGGTGTCCATTTCAAAGCCCATCACAGTGGCCATCACATCCAAAAGACACATTTTTTTCCACTCAAAAATGGTGGGGAATTTCCCATTCTTTAAAAAATACTGTTTTCTTGCCAGTAAGCCCCCAGATAAACTGCACATCTGTAAACTAACCGCTCTATTTTCTGCACATACATGAAACAGCTCCAGAATTGCAAAGTGCAAGACACAGGGAAGGGGATTTTACTTGTTTTTGTTTTTGTTTTTTTTTTTTTTTCTTTTTTTAATGTGTAATTTGCATTTCACACATGCAAAAATATAGCAGGAATTTTATTATCTGCCTTATATACACATTCATCCACAACAAAGTCGTACTTGACTTACGTACATTTCTCTGAACATAACATTTTCCTTGTCTTCAGAAAAAAAACCCAACCCTACAGAGATGATTTGTAACATTTTCATCTTTATAGCTTACTTCCTATTTCATTACTTTGCTATCAAGCGAGGACAAAATTATTCTTTTTTTTTCTTATTTCGCTTTGCCACCTTACATGTGATCTAATTTTAAGTAATTGAACAAACTGTGTCTAATTTCATGCAGCAAGCAATAATTACTAGACAGCCTCTAGCTATTGGAATTGAGAACTCTGTCTCCATTAAGCAATTTTCAATTGTTCTGGACTTTTTTTCCAAATAGACAAGACTGGATAAAATTAGCCATCAGGATAACACAGTCACTGTAAAAATAATTGCTTTAAAAGTCCCAAACCCCAAATTCCTCAAATTGCAGTATGTTTAAGGTCATCTGATTTTTTTTTTTTTTTCATACCCTAGCACAGCATAAACTTTTAATTTCATAATAAATCTATAATTGCCATAATCACATGACAGCCTGGGACTTCACGCAGCTAATCCCTCTTAGCTAAAGGTTCACAATGTGGCAAGCTTTTTAATTATGATTCAGTGTGGTTTAAAATAATCTTAAACGCTGGGCATCCTTGTTATATAAGCTTTCTGTGGATGGTACGAGTTGTTCCTTTGTAGGCTAAAAGAAAAAAATAAATATAAAAATGACTTGACAAAGAATCAGCACGCCACAGGCTAGGTTGCTATAAAAACATTCAAAGCCTTGTTGCATTCCCACCCACAGGGCTAGGAAGGCCTGTGCTACAGGCAAAGGCAGACATCACATTGCAAGAGAGAAAGGGGGAAGCCCTGAGAACTGCCATTTTACGAAGAAATAGGAAATTCAGTCAAAACTTGCTGTTGGTCTTTATTTCACCCCTACAAGAATGGCAGGTGCCCTTTCAAAAGCTTTCTAATGGTTGTTTAAAGGCATAAAGACAGATAGACAGGGATATGTGTATATATATTTGCATATACATGTATATTTGCATGTATAGGTATAAAACATATATAAAAAATAGTATATATATATATCTTAGTCAAATAGTTTAAAGTAGTCCTGTGAGGAGCAGGGAGTAGGACTTGATGTTGCGTATTGGTCCCTTCCCACTTGAGATATTCTATGAAATATATAAATATATAGATAAGTAAATATACATATATATGGAAGCAAGTGTCTAAAAACACCACACTGACTCCCATTGACAGGTCCACCTCTCACTCTAGATCACTTTGGGATACCAAAGCAAATTGTACCACTGTTCAATAAACGGTGACTTGAGACCTTTACTTTGTTGTGTACATTAGCTCCTACCATTATCTCTTAAAAGCTTAATTATTTGCAAACAATTGATCAAGATGGGAATTGGAGAAAAGAGACGCCGGACCACCGGGAGAGCTGCAATGCATTAGGAGAGCAAACAGAATTACCTTTAGGTCTTATAATCAGAATTAACGATTGGGACCATACGCAGGGCAGCGTGAGAAGCTGTAACGCTCTTGCTGGAGTGTTTTCCATTTGATCTGCATTAACACCTCCAGTGAAAGCCATAAAACAGTGATTACAGATGGGAAGGCTGACCCTCCTTCCCAGAACCAGCCCAGCTTGTGTATACTGGAAGTCTGCAGACAGGCTTTCTTGCCAAGGCCAGAGGGAAAGGGCAATTCCAAGGGGAAAAAAAAAGTAGGAAGCAGGCAGGTTGAAAAAAAAACAAAACAAAATAAAAAAACCCAAAGCCATTTGAAAGAGTAAGGCTGACAACAGATAAGGACTCTGAATTTGGCTCTGGTATTTTCTGATCATGCTGCTGCTGCTACAGCACTACAGAGCAGCATCCACTGAATGGTATGAGACCAAGTGCTTTTCCCTTCCCATAAATCTAGTGCTGAAATGCGGATTGTTTGGCACCATTACTGTGTTTTTGAGGCTCTGTGGTATTACTTTTAATAATGACTTAGTACAGAAAGTGATTGCTTAATAACACCATCAAAGTCTGCATGCAAATGAAAATTATCCCTGGGGGATTTGCCCAGGGTAATATGAACAGTTAAGGAACATTTGAAAAGGTAAAAATAACTATGCAAAATATGAGTCAGAGCAGTCATTTTAGCAGTAACAAAGAAATCAAAGTGACAGAGAGAAAAATGTAACTTTCCATCATATTCTCTCGTCACTGTTTTATGAATGGTATTTAGTGAACAGCAGTCTTAATAAAAGCCTCTTTTTAATGCAGCCAAGATCATTTTTAGTAAAACAAACAATAAGACTTTTTTTTTTTTACCACCTTTGACTACAGCTGTTGGGTAAAGTCTCCAGTAGATACAGATGGAAAGCGTCCAAGTTTGTCTCTTAATGATACCCCTTGTCCAAACGTACTCCTTTCCTCAAATTTTCCACCCCAGGCTGCAAATGCTGGATGCCAGGACAGTGATAGACTTTATCATATCTGTGAGCTGGTATCAGTACCACTCCCTCCCTCTCTGCCTTGCCTGCCACGGTGGTGCACCGTAATGGTGGCAGAAAGATCTGAAAATAATCCTGCCTAGAGTTTACTGCTGAGATAATGGGAGGCAAAGCCACCCCTCCTCACTCCTAGATTACTAATTCCTCAAGGCACCAAACTGCCAACCAGCCCCACCACAGCCCAGGAGCAGAAGCAAACCCCACGCAAAAGGTTGTGTGTGACATTATCAGGATGTTGTGGCAAGCACCCAGCGTCGCCCTTATCGCGGCAGTGCCGTCGCTTGGCTGACCACGCCAGGAGAACCATTTGGGAAGTCCTTTTATCCTCTTCCTCCAGCCCTCTGCCTCCTCCGGAGCTCAGTGTAATGCACCAAGGCAAGATGACCTTGAGCTAAACTCTGGTAGGTGATGGAAAGAAACTCCCTCCCCCCCCCCCAAATAACTGCTCTTAGGAGTGACTATTAACTCTTTTCTAACCTCAAAATAAAAAGAGAACCCCCTAACACTATGCCTTTCCTGTTTCCAAAAGTAATCCAGCCTACACCTAACACAGAAACCAGAATAAAGCCCAAGTTTCAGCCCTCCAGTGACAAACTGCACATCAATTCTATGCTGAACTCTAAATCCTTGCTTTACTCAAACTTGTCCAGGGTTAGTTAAGGAGGCAGCGCAGCCGTTTGGGTCTCTCCCCTTCCCCTACCTCCTCCTGTTTTGCATTTGGACTGTTTACATTAGTGATCAAGTTGATCTACGAGAAATTATGATTTTTTTAAAAATATCCATAATGCTTTCCTATTGTCTCTCAGCTTTATGAATTAGTTTTACTGTTGC